TCCTAATCTCCTCAAATTCTACTTCAGCCGAAATTTGATTTGAATTTTAAAATTCAAATCAAGCGGTTTCTGTAACTGAACCTGAGATTAATTCTCAGTTTTAAATATTAATTACAATTCATTGCTTTGGTCCATGTCACGGCTTGGCCTCCTCCTCACTTTTTCATCCCGTTGGCAGCTCATCTCATTAATGGAATCCCCTCCTTTTCCTAAATCCCATTTTAATTGAAATCTGCATTTAATTTCAGTTATTTCAATTAACCTCCCTAAACCTATTTTACTCCACCAAAAAAATCTGAGCCAAATATCCACTGCCATTAATGCCAAAATCTCTTGTGCAGAACCTATAGCTTGGTACTCTTCCCCCAAATTTCTTTACATCATATTCTATTAAAACCTGAAGACTCACCTCAGATTTTTGTAAGAATTCTGAAACTGTTTTCAGATATTAAGAGGAAGAGTGAATTCTCTCAGGTTTTGGGAAACAAAAGCTGAAATTATTCTCAAATTTTGGAGCTCGCAACCTCTCTCCTACCAAGAGAATCTGAGAATTTTCTCAGGTTTTGTGCAAAGAAATCACAATTAATTTCAGATTTTGGAGAGGAGATCCTCTCCGTAGCAAAGTCCGCGTGTCCGTTCTACATCATCATCATTCTATTATGAGGATTCTTCTTTACATCATTTGCAAGTTTGTTACGATTCGGGCTTTGTTTGGGACAGCTTTCGTACTACTTTTTAAAACAGCTTTTTAGACAAAAATTTCAAATTTATGAAATTTTTGTACTAGCAAGCTGTTTTAGAAAGCAAGAAGAAAGCCGTCCCAAATGAAACCTCAATCTTTGACTACTGTTACTATCGTTAATTATGCTGATCCTCAGCTCATTTCTTGCAGCTCTCCTTGGGTGACTTGCATATATGCTCCTTAAGGCTTCTCGGCATTGACTGACTAATTACTACAAATTTTTTATTTATTTTTATTGAAAACTAGTGAGAACTCTGAGTATATAAAAATATTATATTCAGTATGTCTTTTGATTGAAAATTCTAATTAGTTATTTCTTCTCGTGCTACAAAGAGTATAATCGAGCAATAGAACAAGTTACATGCTTTTGGTTTTAGACACACTTCTTTGCATGATTTGAAACCTATTACGTGTTGAAACTTATTGTATTATGGAAGAACTAACATGGTTGAAAATTGCAAAGCAATGTGATCAGCATAGAACCCATAATCCAAACTCAAGCCTAGGTTCAAGATTTCAATCCATATTGAACCCAAATTAAGCCAACTCATGAATTACTCTTTTTTTTTCGCACAGTAGGTTGATCTTTGTGCAATAAAGGACTGGTTTCAAAGTTCATGAATTGGAACAACATAATACAATATTTCACAAACAAGGACAATCAACTTTAGCCTTTTGCTAGGGTTTTTTTGAAACCCTGACGATACTTCCAGGATTTATTATAAAACTTGATGATACTATTAGGGTAGGTTATAAAATCATCATGACAAACTTTTGACCTCTTTGCCTTCTTCCTCTCTCAAAACAACTCTCTTTAATTCGTTTAAGTTCTCAGAGAAGAATTCAAGAAAAAGAAGATAAAAAAAAGGAGCGGATCCATAAGATCTCACTCAAGATTTTCATTACAACGTTATTCTAGTTATCTTTGTTCCTAAATTTTCAATCAGTGCTCCTCTTCTAACCATCATCAGAATTAAGCATTGAATAACACAATCTGGCCACAAATTACCAGCATTGCGACCAAAACTTGAATTTCTGATTTTGTAAGATCAATAAATTAGGAGGATCTCAAGAGTAGAAATAAATATCCTTATCAGATGTATTTAATAAAATTTTAATTGCTTTAAGTTCAAACTACTTTCAAATGGAACTGTTGAGTCTAAATTTGGACAGAATGCACATACCTTGGTTATAAGAACTAAAGGGCTAACCTTCAAGGCTTCCTGGTAGTTTATCTTCTTCTGATTTTCTTTATATCATATTTTGTATTTGTTACTTCTGAGAGATTCTTGAATCAAAGCTAAGTAAAAGTTGTGAACAAACTATTGATATTGATACTAATTTTTAGACCAGCCTTCTGATTTCTTCTATGGCATTAAGTCCTATTTAGTGTTGCATGTGTTTTGACCCTACTTTACAAGGCAGCTAACCAGCCTTACCTTATTTGCACACTTTCCCATTACATTAATTTTATCACTCCCTTTATTTTACTCTTATTATTTATAAACTCATTTGTAATAGATGTTACTTCTGAACTCTCTTTAATATAACCATTTCACACTAGAATTCCTTTAATTTTTTATTTACTACACATTCCTGAACATCTCTTCAACACTTCTTTGTTTGGTCATTTTCTATGCTGCCTGCCAACGATAACAGTCTTTCTTAACTTGTGTGAAGTCCTATAATAGAGAGTCATAATGTTAATACCAATGAAAAAAGAAAAAAAAAAAAGAAAGAAAGTCATGAATGCTTGCGAAGAAGGCTCCTTGCCTTGTCACCGCTGATATATGGACATAACCGTAGTCCTTTATAACAAATTTGGTTGAAAAAATATATAATCATTCTCTGTTTAGTGTTAAGAAAGTAGTAAATGCAAATTAATCCCTCACATTGACCATAAAGTGAACACAAGTTTTTTTGAAATCACCCAACTAAATCTGTTATGATTTTGGTTATAAGCTTCGAGGTTCATTCATTGCACCATGCCATTACCAGTTCTATAACATCCAGTTGGGCCCTTTACTCTCTCTCTCTCTCTCTCTCTCTCCACCACTCACTAATATTCTTTTTCTTTCTCTTGTGAAAGATGGCTGAAGTGAGGGTGGAATTTTAAAAGTAGAAGTTAAACAAAAATAAACTAAATTATGAAGCAAATAACTTGGCTTATCATTCTCATAAAGAACTCATTGGATGATTTTAGAACGACAGAAACCCTACTCTCTATTGTCTGTTTTACTCTGGGCTTGCAATCACCATTGTCAGACATTTCTACTAATCCAGATTGCCATATGTTGTCTACTTAGCTGCATGGGATCGTGTTATTTATGGTGTCATCTTCTGCATATCAGCAGGGCCTTACACATTCATAGGTTAGCAAATTTCATGTGAGCTCGTCTATCCATGTATTATTGCTACCAAGCACAATATCTTCATGGTACACAAATGCTGATGGTGCACTAAGGTTTCGTTTGGAATCGCTTTCTTACTACTTAAAGCAGCTTTCTATAAGGCACATTTCAGCCTTTATCTCTAGTGGTTTCTATAAGTCCACTCATATCCTAGCAACTGTATGTGAAGACGAAAGACTTTGAAGACCACTTTTCGTGCGCCAAATATCCCCCAACTTCATGTGACATTTAATTTCTCATGTTCCTGTATTGTCTGACGCAAGAAACAAGAAAAGTAATATAAATAATGCAAACATCATCATGTGGGTTGTAGGTGTTTACCAAGTGGGCTGTAGGTGTTTACCAAGTGGGCTTGAGAAGCAAGAAAACCTTCGCGTTATCTCACTAAAATTCCTGTAAAACAGTAGATCCAGGAGAGGCTTAGAGTCTTACTGAACAACAGCCATTGGATTCAAGAGTTTATCCAGCGGAGGCTCAGATCATCATCTGAGCCTCTTGCTCACTATCTCTTCAGTTCTTTAAACTAAATTATACGCTTATGATCTCATGTACCATCCCCAATCAGCCCCTCCCAATCGAGAAATTACTTTGTGCGGACGACGAACGCAGTTCAGCATCCGGAGACAAACCAGAATGCGTCACGTCAGCAGTACCAAGCACGGTATCGAGCAATACCGAGCTGCGGTACCGAACGGGAGTGACGTGGCACATTCTAGTTGGTCTTTGGACAGCGTTCGGCATCCGCACATAAGAATTTGGCCTCCCAATCACATTGAACTTTTTGTGAAAAACACCGACAAATTTAGTCTCATTGTAAGGAATTATTACTCTATTTCTGATTTGGAATTTGAAATTCCTTCCTAAACAAGATAACATATTATAGAAAAGTTTCTCAAAACACACCAATTTAAATTAATTAAAGATTTGCCGTAATTTTCCCTTCCCTAATTAAATATCCCTTGTTTGATAACCCCTTAATTCCCTTCCACATCACCTCCCCACCCACCCCCATACCCGCCGGCCCACCCCTTTCTCCTCCAATTATCTCTTTCCCTTTAATGCTCCCAATCAAATCCCCTCTCATTAAGGTGTGCCACCCCTCCCTATCCCCAATTAGAGGATATTCAAATTCAAAATTTTCCCTTCCTCGCAAGCATTCAAATCTGAAATTAAAATTCAGAATTTTAATTACCCCCCTTCCTTTAACAACGCACCAAAATCCGGAAGCTCATTCCCCTCTCCTTCTTTTATGGCTGGCCCCCACTACATCCCCCTCGCTACTTGGAGTTACTTCTCCTAATTCCCTTCCACCAATATCGATCCCGAAGGATTTCCACTTCACAAAACTGCTATCCAGATTTCCTCGATATATCAAAATTGCTGTTTAGAAATTTCAGCAAAGGTTGTTTGTTGTCCCGCCTTCCAGAAGTCCTTTGCGTGTTGTCTAGAAGTTCCCCAAGCTAGAGTTTGCCACCACCTCATGTAAGGCTGATCCAAAAAATGACCACGACTTTGTTTTCGATGATCAAGGGCTGATTGACATCATCCGGTCTCTGTTCTTCGACATCGACTTTGGGAACGCCCAATTTGTTGAAGACTACGTAGAGATGATCCTCTTCTCCCTCGTCACCGCTATCGACCAACAGAATCATCCCATTCAGTGGCGACTTGCTTCCGAATCCTGACAAAGGTGAACTCTCCTTCAAGTCTTTTCTCTTCTAAGTTTTCCCTTAATTGTGGTGTCATATAGGTTATGTAAGCTTTCTCCGTTTTCACCGATCATTAAAGAGTTGAGTGAGGGATTTTTCATAGTGACTATTCCAAATGTTAAATTAGGGATTTCTATCGAAAGCCCCACATTACGCAAAATTTGAATTGATTGGTTATTTTTGTGTTCTAAATCTTTGTTGTGTAATCTATTGCTTGATCTAAATCATTACTTTATTGTTTTGAATCACCGTTTAAATCAATGAATATTGACTAATTACTATTGCTCTTTCAACGTCATATAATTTCAAATGCAAAACATCAACATACACATTTAGTTCTACATCACTTACCTTATTTGCACACTTTCCTATTACATTAATTTTATCACTCCCTTTATTTTACTCTTATTATTTAGAAACTCATTTGTAATAGATGCTACTTCTGCACTCTCTTTAATATAATCATTTCACACTAGAATTCCTTTAAATGTTTATTTACTACACATTCCTCACTCATCTCTTCAACGCTTCTTTATTTGCTCATTTTCTATGCTGCCTGCCAACGATAACAGTCTTTCTTAACTTGTGTGAACTCCAATAATAGAGAGTCATGAATACAGAATACATGCGAAAAGCTCCTTGCCTTGTCTCTTTAAGTTGCTGCTTAAAGTTAAGAAAGACTCTTCAAGTTGCTGCTTACAATTATACTTTCACTTGCCGCTTATCTTCTTAGAGCATCAATGTCAAAAAACTATTCTGAGATAGTTCTCTGTGATTACTTTCCATTGTTCTGTTTTCTGCAGCCACCATAAAAAAGAAGAAAGTTGGTGGTATAGATTATGAAGCTTTAAGCAAGCATGGATATCATGGCGGCCCTTCAGTTCTGAAGGTTCCTCCTCCTAGAGTTGAGGAAAAAGAGCAAAACTGGTCATGGTCTACAGGAAAGGATGGAGATGAGGGCAAGGATTCATCAGACGAATCATTCGCCGAGCGAGAGCGAACAAGAGCTGCCGCTCATGGCGAAAATCTTTTGCATTTGCAGGCAAATCTGCAATCCGATAAGAGGGATAAGAAATCATCATTTTCCCAGAAGGAGAAGAGGAAGAGAGATCTTGGCCAGGCCAGCAGGGGAAAGAACTACGTAGAAGAAGAGAAGAGGCTCTTGAGGGATAGTGGTGTCTACTCTGGCTTTGATTAATCACACTAGCATATTTTTGGCAAATTTTTTTATTATAAGAGGATGATAACAAGTGTAGATTGTCAGTAATTTCAACTACAGTTTTAATGGCAGAATTTGATTCTGTTTTAGGCTGCTTGAAAGATGATCCAAGAGTGTATTAGAAAGTGTATTTAAAACTTATTTGTTGAGATTGTATCATTTGAACCGACCAGACATTTTTAATGCTTAAGATGACATTTTCTGCATTTTGTTTTATGATATCAATTTGGTAGAATTTGCTGCAGCAATCTGATGAAGCAGCAGTTGGCCCAATGGTTTGCAACAATTTTTCGATGGCTTTGAAATCTAGCCAGATTAGAACATCTAGGCTTCATGTAGTTATTGAAGAAGTAGAATAAGGGTGTAAGAATCTATATTTTAACTCGGTAAAATAAAATTTTTCAAGAGTCATTATAAGTCTAAATTATAAATCATCTTTGTCATAATATAAATATTGTAGTGTTTTAATTATATTAATTTTTTTGGTAATTTTGAGCACTCGTGTAAATTTTTAGAAAATTAATACATGTCGGTATAAGTAGGGGTTTTGGCACAGTCAAGTGCTCGTTTTGTAAATTGATTTTATAAATGATGGATTATTTTATAAATATTTTCTATAATTTTTAACGCTCATGATTTAAAAATGTAAAAGAATTTATATTAATTTTTTGCTAAAATTAAATAATTGTATAATTATAATTACATTTGTATATTATATTATTTTATTCCTAAATATCCTAACCCACTTATATAACTTATCTAAAAAGTCATTTCACTCAAATTCATTTTATAGAGATAATGTAAGGAAAATTAAGAGAGAAAAAATGAGGCAAAAGTAAAGGTAATTTAGGATATGGAGGTTGTAAAATAATTTTCGTTAGTCGACCCAGCTGAGAAATTTGCTTGTCTCATTGTAAAGAATTATTACTCTATTTCTGATTTTGATGATTTTGTATATTTTGTGTTTTATGTATTTTAATTTGACCAAAAGTTGCAAAAGTTATAATATCTTGATTTTTAACAAATTTTCACAACAAAACTTTTGGTATATAATAGATGTCGTCAATATGAGCATTTTCACAAAAATATTTATAAATTTTATCTAATAAAAAAGCAGTTATTAAATTTTGTATGATTTGCACTAAATAAATAATTTGATATTTTTATTTAAACATATTGTTAATACATATATTGAGAATGAAAATGGGTGTATGAGTGGATAATAGCTGGTCGCTTTTACTGTTATAATAATGTGATAATAATATGTGTGAAGACAAGTAAAAATTTGGTTTCATTGATGTTGGTTGGATACTAATTGACCTATACAGGATGGTGGACCGACGGTCTTTCCTTTAAACATTATGGTTGGATGTTATCCTCTTCCGATTCATTTGATGGACTGATTGGGACTTAAAATGAGTTATTATCGTGCTGAAGGGAAAAGACTGATGACTCTATTTACTGAGCCAACAATTGCTAACAATTAACTTACTATTAGAAAAATATCGTATAAACCATGCTTTCTTACTTGTTTAGTATAATTACCGAAATGCATGCTAATGATTCATTGTTACCATACGACCTTACAATTGATGTACTAATTTACAATTGCTGTACGGATTCATTGTTATTGCATTATTTTATTGTTTTTTTCTCCAATTTTACTAATGGCACTAGACTGTTAATGTTATCGATACGGACACCGATAGTATTTGATACTACGGATTCACTGTACTGATATTGAGTATGTGATTTAATAAGCACGTAATATTCTGAGCATGTATAGACTATTATAGGATTTTATTAAATTGATATGATTTTAATAGTTTTCATCAATACTTTGATTTTATCGATTATACGATTTCCTTAATGATTCATCGACTAATTTAAGATCTAACACCCGTACTGATTTATTAGTTTCCTCACTATACTATTTACGGTCTATAGACGTTATTATTACAGCTATTGTATGTGAATTTTACTACTTCTGTGCTGATTAATGATTAGTAATATTATAATTTGACTGCTGACATGCATATTGTTCATTTGTCGTGCTTTGAGTTTAATTGTAAGATTTGATTACTTGTTGTACTCTTGAGTTCATTATATGTAATTAAAAGATTTCATGTCATGATAAATGAGCAATAATATGAGATTGATCAGGATCCTTCAAGTTTAGGTTCTTATTATTTTAATTAATCTTTTGTACTCATAACAGAATAGTTGTGATATGATTATATAGATTATGAGTATTGTATATGATTTTTGAAAAAATGAATACAAATGTATATATTGATGTTTGATTGATAGTTTTATTTTGGTTGGTATTTATATTGATAACAGGAATTAAGTAGCTCTGATTGCTATATATTAATAGATAATAGAACAATTCTTCCAAATTAGATTATGGGGTGTTACAAAAGGTGCGACAATAAACATTTCTAAGATGAAATGACCTTTTTTGGGTGCAGTATCTTGCATTGTTTGTTATGGTTCACTAGAGCTCTTATTACAGCTTACAGATTTTTCTGATTCAAATATTTATACCAACATCACCACTCAAATGCAAAAGCTTGGAATTGTTTGACTTCACAGCATCATACAATTATGTTGAGATTGAAGTTAACCGTAATCAAGCGGGAGAATACTGAGCAGATCTTATGGTGATGCTCATGAACAAGCAGTTTGTCCCATGCTTTAACCTCTCTCTCTTTTAATAAGGTACCAATCCTCTTCTACTGCTTAAAGAGATCATTGCACCATGCAAATTCATTGGTACATGCCATTTTTGCCCCAGGCTTCAGCTTGTCTTCTCAGTTGGAGTTCAAAATTCATATTTACTTCTTACATATCACTGCTGTTTTATAAGCAGTTGCAAAAAGTGATTTCAAATGAATGAACAGTCGGCTGATTTCATGAAGGAACAGCTATCCTTGTGATTTGACCTCGAAGAAGGAACCCACCGAGGCTTAGGATGGTTGGTGGTCGAGCACAGTTGGGAACCTCGCATCCCGGGTTCGATTCCCGTCTACTACGGCCTCGCCTCTTCAGTGGGGCAAAGCAATTGTGGGTTAATACCTGTGGGTGGCCTCATTAGGGTTCGCCGAGGGACTAGTTACGCCATCAAGCGCTCCCTTTGGAGTGGTTGTGGGTAAATACCCCGTTCTAAAAAAAAAAACTGGAAGAAGGATAAATAAGCATTGTCAACACTAATTCTTTCACCAGTAATCGCTGCAAGAGCATTGCCCTTTTTCAAAATGATGGAACCGATTGTTATCTCTAACGGTAATTTCTCGGTCATAAATTGCTGATACTAGCTTCATGAATGAATGGCAATCAGAGCAAATTCGAAGGTTCTTAACTATACGAATTGGGACTCCTCGGCCAGTACTAATGAGACCATATGCAACTGCCATTTTCTCGCTATGCCGGCTCAAAAGGAACTCCTTTTCCTCCTCATTAACATCCAGCAAAACCTTATCCAAATCAGGAACATAACCAGCAAGTGAAAGTTTATGGCCCATCTCTTGCAGCATCTCAGATATCAGCTCCATCTGGGAATGTGACTCATTAGAAGAGGTGAACTCATGGATCATTCCTTCAATCTCGATCAAGCTCGAACCAGGAAGTTTCTGAACTCCTTTATCTTTGAGTAATAACCTCACTTCCGCAACATCCTTCCATCTCCCTGCTGAAGCATAGACATTTGAGAGCAGTACATAGATTCCACTTCTACCTGGAGACAACTCAAGAACTCTCTCGGCTGCAAACTCAGCCTGTTCAAGATCATGGTGAACACAGGATGCAGCTAATAATGCTCCCCAAACTATATCATTAGGCTCCATAGGCATGCTCTCAATGAGCATTCTAGCTTCTCCTAGAAGTCCGGCTCGCCCCAAAAGATCAACCATACAACCATAGTGAATGACCTGAGGCGCAAATCTGAAGTCCTTTGTCATGGACGGAAAGAACTGGCGACCCTCTTCGACTAACCCCCCATGGCTACAAGCTGTCAGCACTTGAACAAACGCTATAGTATCTGGCTTAAGTCCATCTTTAATCATCTCAGAGAAAAGATATATTGCCCTTCTCCCATTTCCCTCAACTGCCATTGCTCCTATTGCTGCTGTCCATGCAGAAGCATCTTTGTTCTGCATTTTTTCAAATATTTTCAATGAGCTTTTGGTATCACCACACCTAGCAAACATATCAACTAATGCAGTGTTTAGCTTGACTTCTGTGGAAATTTTGTTCTTGTTGATATATGCGTAGGTCCATTTAGCAAGATCAAGGGCACCCAAATAACCACAAGCTGAAGCAACACTCAACATTGTCACTCTGTCGGGCCTCATTCCTGAACTCTGCATTTCCCTGAAAAGTGTCATGGCATCTTCAAACCAGCTCTCCTGCACCAGTGCAGCAATCATTGTGTTCCAAGAAATATGATCTCTCCAGGGCATCTCCTCAAAATGCTTCCAAGCAGATCTCCAATCACCATTTCTGATACAGCCATTAATAACAGTGTTCCAGGACACCACAGTCTTCTCCTTCATTGGATCGAAGATTCGGAAAGCTGCATCGAGTTCCCGACACTTCATGTATATATCAATCATTGAATTGCTCACATCATGCCACACATCTAAGCTGTTTCTCAGTATATAACCATGGAATCTTCTCCCCGTCATAGCTTCACCAAGCTGCGCTGATGCCGAAGCTGCTGCAACGATTGTTACCCGGTCTGGTTTCGTTCCTGATATCAACATATCATTAAATAATGCAACTGCTTTATGGGCCATTCCATGGCGAGCATAATTTGACAGCATTGTGTTCCAAAGAACAATATTCCTATCAGTGCACTCATGAAATAGTCTCTCTGCCACTTCCACAGCTCCACATTTCATGTACAGATCAACAAGAGTGTTCACCAGGTTGATACTAAAATCGATTCCTACATCAACCGCGTAGGTGAAAAGCCTCTCTCCACTCTCAAAATCCTGCAACTTTGCACAAGCAGAGACAGCGCAAGCCACAGACACCGAATTTGGAGCAATTTTATTGTCGGCAACCATATCCCAAAATAAATGCACAGCCTTTCGTGGATCATCCCCATGAGCATAACCAGCAATAAGGCTTGTCCATGAAACAACATTTCTTTCAAGCATATTATCGAACACCCTGTGTGCGGATTCAAGCTCACCATGCTCTGCATAGAAATGTATCAAAGAGTTCTGTATAAAAATGTCATCTTGAACCCCTCCATAGCTTCCTACCTTCAACAACAGCCCGTGAAGCCAGGCTCCTTCTTGAAAAGCGAAGGCCTTTGTGAATCCAGCAAGGAGAGGACGGAAGGTGAAGTGGTCAGGCACGAACCCTTCGTCAACCATTTGAACAAAAAGTTCAACGGCTTCGTCGACATGACCAGAAGAAGAGAATCCTCTGATGAGTGAGTTCCAGAGAAAGAGGGTGGCTTTATGTTCTTCGCAGAAGAGCTCAAAGGCTTTGATGGCGTAGTCTAGGCTTTGGGCAGTGGCTGCCCTGGAGTAGGCATAAATGAGATTGGAGGAGGCGGTGGGGAGGTGAAAAAGACCGTGTTTGGTTATTTGGCAATGGATACGCTTGATTTCTTCAATGTTTTTGCTGAGTTTGAGATGATTGACAACGCTTTTAGTGTCACGGTAGAGGATAGGAAGCTCTTGCGAGGACGAAGGAGATGGAGAAGGAGAGATGGAGCTAGCTGCCATGAAGCTAAGATTTGGCGCAGAAGCTATCAGTGGCGTTGGGAGTTTTAACTTGAGTAGCGTCTATCGGATATGGCGGGCAGCTTTTTTTTTTCACAGATATGGGGGCAGTTTTTTTGTTTGTTTGTTTGTTTTTTTTTTTTTAATTTCATTTATTTATTTATTTTAAGGGTTTAGTATGGTGGTATGCATGTAATATTAAAGTTTTGGGTGTTAGATATGTAAATATGATATTATAAAGTGGTATGTATGTAAATTTCCCTAGACGCTACAATTTACATACATACCACTTTATAATATCATATTTACATATCTAACACCCAAAACTTTAATATTACATGCATACCACCATACTAAACCCTTAAAATAAATAAATAAATGAAATTAAAAAAAAAAAACAAATCTAGATGAACAAACGCACAACTAAGACATAGCAATCTGACCAGAAGCCCACACAGTGTTCGAATCTTTACCTAAAATAATTAAAAATGCAATAACATAATTAAAATATAACATTAATATGTAAATTAAGATAAAATTCACATATATATTTAACAGATGTCGAATAATACAAAAAAATTGCCTAGAGAAAGGATATATTTGAAACTTTGACCCCCTAAAAAAAAAATTTCCCCAATGCCGCGCTTAATTGCCTGCGCCCCTCACTTTTCCTTCGCATCTTCCAACCTAGTGCGGTTCGCTTGCAAGCTGCAGTTGATGCATCTCTTCATAGAGGATCGAAGACACCTTGGGTGTTTCTTTTCTGAAGATCGAATACTTGGGTTGGGTCTCCTCTCATTATCGAAAGCTATGGTTAGTTTCTTTCTCTTGAGATTGAAGGAATAGCAACTGGTTTTGAAGTTTCTTCCTTATAAAAGCAAGAACAACACACTAATGTTTGTTTTCTTGCCTCCCTTTTCTACAAATCAAATAGCTAGCATGAATGGCTGCTGTAATAAATCGTTTGCCTCTTGAAATCAATCAAAATCAGCAGCTATTCATGATTTTTCCTTTCTTGAGATTAAAAAAAAAGGACAATGACTAGATGAGGGAAGCGGTTTTACTTCTTGAGATGAAGGGCTGTAGGCTTTCTCATACATTTTTTAAATTAAAGGATAAGTAGAGGGTCTCCAGGAAATTTTACAAATCCTAAATACTAGATAATTTCATTCCCGAGTTGTCGTTACCATCTCATTGGGTTCTTTCAACAAACTGTTGCGCTTGCAACCGAAAATCAACCTTCCATTGGACGTGGCACGAGTCATGATCTCTACTTGGCTCAACCAAGTTGGTTGTTGCCTGCTCGCGAGTTGTTCCCTGCCGGAGTCATTTTTTATAGGATTGAAGGTAAGAAATATATCTTGTTTTGTCATTGGTTTTTTCATTTGAGACGAAAGGCTTTCATTTACAATAACAAATTTCCATTTGAAAAAAAATCTGTTGGTAGCTTGAACACTCTAGAGTAAGAGATAAACTTTGGTTATACATATAATTATACTTAAATACTTATATTATAATTTAGTATGATGTGTGTATTTTTATCCATCCATGTATTTGTAGAGCAGCTATTTAGATGAATTGAATATGGGACCTCCATGTTTCACTATAGACAACATAATTCATCACGTCTTCTATCTATAGAACCTCAAATTTGGTTTATGTGCCTGCAAGTCATAAAGCTGGTATTTTATGTGAACAAACCATCTAAGACAACTCTCTCTAGCATTGAGTTCAGCATAACATATATGATTATACTCCAACTTATATTATTACTAAAATCAATATTAAATTGGAATATAAATGATAAAAATTTTCTCTTATAATTTTGATAGCACTATATTGGTTACTTTTTTTTAAAAAAAAATATTTTATCATTATTACTATTTGATGTTATTACCTTAAAAAAAGAAGTTGGATCCGCCCCTAGTACTTAGACAATATAATAATAAAATGATAAATGAAAAAAAATATATATAGAACAAACAGTGACAACAAAAATACATAATGATAAATGAAATTAAAAATAACTAATACTGATAATCTAATAATCTAGAAGATTGGTACCAGATCTTTCAAGACTACTAAAATATTTTTCAAATGAAGTGGATGCAGAAGATGATTGTTGATCTTATTGTTATTTAAACCTCTTTTGTAAAATTCGTGCTTGTTCAGCTTGAATAAATTCACGAATGCTAGAACTTTGTATGGAACTCAAGTCCTGCATCAAGATTTTATGTTCTTCATTGAGTTCTTTCAAGGCATAGTTCTTACTTTAGAGCTATAAGTGGTATTATCTCTATGCACTTGTCTTTTTAATTGTTCAATAAGTTGTGTATTTCCATTTTTCAGAATATTCTTGAGTCTTGATATTTGGTCATCAATTTTTCTTTTTTATTTGACTTTTCTCACCCCAATTTGTCTTTCAGATGAAGAGCCACCAATATTGTATTCGTCATCTTTTAAATTTAGAGAGAATGCATATAATGCATGAGATGTTATCTAATAGATTCACAGGTGGAATTTTCTGACTGATGGGGTATGCCCGAAGCTCGACTTTCGAGATGTATGTCTAACACTAGAGGCGCCATCTTAAATTGTTTTAAAATTCTTAATAATGTTCCACATATTATCAAACTTCCTACCTAATTTGAACTTTTTATCTTGCGCAAGCAAAATTTTGGCTTGATCTAACTGTAAATTCATATAAATAATTATAATTAATTAAATGTCAAATTGAGATAATAAATAATAAAAAAAAGGATTAATACTCACAATATATTCATTTGAAGCACCACTGAGATACATATTTTTAATTTATCGGATGTATATGTGCATCTTCTTTACTCCTTTCTTAGTAGTTTGAATACGTGACTGAACAGATCTCTTTGAATGCATTTCATAACTCTAATTCCTAGAATTATTGTAGGCTTCTTAACCACATGTGTTCAAAAATCATCAGATGATTGGTATATACCAGTGATCGAGTCTTGAGAAAATTCCATGTAAACTCGACATAGGAGCTTCTCTTGCTCATGAGAATATGTAGAAGATCAAATAGTCTTTTTTTTCAATGAGTTAATGGTTGTAGATGTGTAGTTGATAAAGATAATGAGTGGAAACACGACCCATGAATGACATGTGTAATGCTAGGTCCCTCATGATGACTATACTATTCCCCCTCTTAGATTATACTCTCCAGCCACGATGGGAGGCTCTCTACAAATGAAATCTCTCTCTCCCTCATTTTTTGGAGGCCCATTCAAAAATGTTCACAACTTTTATCTCTACAGTTTTCTTCTTGCAAGCAACATAGAAGGTGTCATGCAAAACCCCTAACTTCTTGGATTTATTATTCTGTGCGGAGTTTAAAGGACGTCCAGAGATCAATAAAAATACGCAACGTCACCTCAAAAATGTACCGTGCTCGGTACCCGAGCTCAATACCGCTCAGTACATCTCGATACCGAGCGCTTAACCGGATGCGAGAACCGTCCGATGTCCGCACAGCATAAAAGCTCCACTTCTTGGGATATCAGACCTAGACAATAGAGAAAACCCAAGCAAACTGCAAGGGTTTCCCCCTCCTTCCCATTCCCACCTCAAGATTCGATGGACCTGCAAAAACAAATCTTCTCACTCTAGCCTTTACCTCCGAGCCTAAATTTGAAAGGCCTTCTCACTTCTCAAAAGCCTCCTTCCAATTGAGCTTCTTTAATTTCCAGGATTAGGTTGTTGTTTTCTCTCATGATGAACTCTATGAAGGTTTAAAGTAATAGGAGTTGGCGCTTTTTGGCCACTCTCTTGGTAATATATCTTATCATGGTGCCTTCTTAGAATCATCAAAAAGACATTGCTCCCAAAGATAACCTTCAACTTCTATCCTTGAATGATGCCTTTTTCTTCTACAAATTTGCATGTTAAGAAGACTTTAATTTCATATTGATGGGTAGCTTATGGTTCTTTTTTGGAAAATCATTTATTATGCAAAAGTGGTCACCTAATTGTAGATCAATGAGAGAAAGATTTCTCATCTACCCCCTTGTGATTAAAATCATGGATTTTCCACTTTGTTGTTGGAACCAATCTAACATTTTGAAAATTGGAATCCCAATTTCTATAGATGCACTTATAGCTATAAATTCTATCTCACCTTCATAATACTCTATATTTAGGTGGCTAATTGTGGTGCTCTACCTGATGAAGTTTATATTAAGCTTAATTATAATGAACAATTCAAAATCGTTATATCCCTTGCCCTTAATGCAACTGATTCACCCACTCCTCATATCTCTGCCCATCTAATCCAACTGCCTCTCACAACCCTCCATTGGCATCGACCTCATTATCTTTTTAGTAACCAAATATTATCCCAAATCTTAACTCTTTAAAGGCTCCTCCTCCTAATATGGATCATTTTTGTTTTAGTTCTTATTTTTCCACTTCCTATTTATCCTCTAACCCTTCTCTTTAGACTGAAGCTCTTGAAAAATGGTTTAAAGTGTCCTTTCCCAAAAAAATAAAATGAATAATGCTCTACCCATCTTTGATGGCTTAAATGCTTTGGGCTTCTATGATTTGGATCAAGTTGTTCACTATAAGAATTTGATCTCATCATTATACCTAGACCTATTATAAATCCTCAAATCCATAATCAATATTTATTCTTTATATGACTCCCTTCTTTACTAACTCTCATAAAATATTTCCCGATGAGGGAGAATCTAATAATTTCTCATTTTGATGTTCTAGTAGAATTCTGGTAAAGTGGATATTCACACGACTTTCCTTTCATCATCTAATCATCGAGAAGCAACTTATCCCTGGTTATATTTCCCATGACACCTTGTATACCTCCACCTAACGAGATATGCAAATAACTACAATTTGGACAGAAAGAAACTTTGGACTTCTCTCACCAACATTGCCTGTTGTAGTGAAGGATCTTAGATTTTTATTGGAGACTTTAACTATTGAAAATATCAAAGTAATTAAGCTTATGCTAATCCTATTTCTCCTATCAAACTCAAAGATTTAATGACTACCTTCTTCAAGGGTAAAGTCATTTATCCTCTATCAGGTTATTTTTAACATTGTTCAACCAAAAATAAATA